ACACAGAGACACACACACAGACCGGACACAGAGACACACACACACACACACACACACACACACACACACACACAGAGACACAGAGACACACACAGACACACACACAGACACACACACAGACACACACACACACACACACTCAGACACACACACAGACACACACACAGACACACACACAGACACACACACAGACACACAAACAGACACACACACAGACACACAAACAGACACACACACAGACACACACACAGACACACACACAGACACACACACAGACACACACACAGACACACACACAGACACACACACAGACACACACACACACACACACACAGACACACACACACAGACACACACACAGACACACACACAGACACACACACAGACACACACACAGACACACACACAGACACACACACAGACACACACACAGACACACAGACACACAGACACACAGACACACAGACACACAGACACACAGACACACAGACACACACAGACACACACAGACACACACAGACACACAGACACACAGACACACACACACACACACACACACACAGACACACAGACACACACAGACACACACACGCACGCACGCACGCACGCACGCACGCACGCACGCACGCACGCACGCACGCACGCACGCACGCACGCACGCGCGCGCGCGCGCGCACGCGCGCACGCACGCACGCACGCACGCACGCACGCACGCACGCACGCACGCACGCACGCACGCACGCACGCACGCACGCACGCACGCACGCACGCACGCACGCACGCACGCACGCACGCACGCACGCACGCACGCACGCACGCACGCACGCACGCACGCACGCACGCACGCACGCACGCACGCACGCACGCACGCACGCACGCACACACACACACACACACACACACACACACACACACACACACACACACACACACACACACACACACACACACACACACACACACACACACACACACACACACGCGCGCGCGCGCGGCTGAATAAATATATAAAGGGAAAAATAAATATACTTAAATATATATTTAATATACTAACATAAATAAATAAATAATACATAAATAAATAAAAGGAAGGAAGGAAATGGAAAGAAACCGGCGGACGATGCGGGCGGTATCGAGGTCGCCTCAGATGTCCCGAGAGGCTGCTGGGATTAACCCGTTTGCAGACACGACTACAGGAATAATTTCGGTCAGCAGACCACCCCACATGTCGGTCACCTCGTGAACCAGGTCCAGATATTTTGATTGCTTGTCTGTTTCGGCTTTCACGAGGTTCTCGTCATACGGAATGGTAATGTCGACCCAAAAAAATCCTTGACTGTGCCCAATCCATCAGCACAATATCAGGCTTATTCGCAAGAATAGTCCTGTCCGTGATGATGGCCCGGTCCCAGTAGAGCCTGGCGCGGTCATTTATTATTATTATTATTGTGGGATATCAACATAGTTTTCTCATCTGGTTGGGTTCTATAAATATATAATTATAAATGAAAATGAAAAGATAAATATACATAAATATCAATAACATAAACTAAATATAAAAATAAATAAATAAATAAAAGCCCAACCAGATGGAGGCCCTCGGCAGGGGAGACCAAACGGCCGAGGGTTAGGGGGAAAGGGAAAGAAACCGGCAGACGATGCGGGCGGTATCGAGGAGCACCGCCTTCTGCATTTGAGCCCGGAGCGGTCCGCCACGTAGTCCCAGCTGCATCAGATGACCCGAGAGGCTGACTGGGATTAGCCCGTTCGCAGAGACGACTACAGGAATAATTTAGGTCGGCAGACCACCCCACATGTCGGTCACCTCGTGAGCCAGGTTTGTGTTTTGTTTTTGTGTTTGTTTAAATTTTATATCTTGTTTGCTTATCTGTTTCGGCTTTCACGAGGTTCTCGTCATACGGAATGGTAATGTCGACCAAAAATATCCTTGACTGTGCCCGGTCCATCAGCACAATATCAGGCTTATTCGGAAGAATAGTCCTGTCTGTGATGATGGCCCGGTCCCAATAGAGGCTGGCGCGATCATTTTCGAGCACGGCTTCCGGCAAGTACTATGGCAATTTCCGATCCACGAGACCGTATTTCAGAGCGAGCTCATGGTGAAGAATTCTGGCTACTAGGTTGTGCCTGTGCAAGTACTCAGAGTTAGAAAGCGCCGAACAACCGGAGATGACATGCCTAAGTGACTCACCGGGATGGCGACAAGCTCGACAGATGTCGACGGTGCCATCCTTTATGTATCTCCGATAGTTGTTAGTCTTAATAACCTGATCCTGTATTGCAACCCTCGGTTTCCCCCGAAGAGATCGCCAAAGCGTAGCCAGTTGAGGGAGGCTACTGTGTCTACGAAAGGCTCATGGAGAGCCTTGTAGAACCTCCCGTGGAGCTCCTTCTCCTTCCATACGGTCTCCCGGTCGTAAATGCTCTGCATTGTCGGGTCTTGCCATTGCTCGTTGGCTAAGGATAGAGGGGTAAGTCCTTTATCACAAGAAATGACGTCCTTATATAATGGATCATTCGATCTCGCCAGGAAGAAATCACGGAGGCTGCACACTTCGCGATTATGCATGGTGAGCGCGCTCAAGAAGCCACGACCACCATGCTTCCGCGGCAAGTACAGCCTCATTACCGACGATCTCGGATGATGCATCCTATGGGACGTCATGGTAGTGCGGACTTTTCTATCCAGGGCGTTAAGTTCAGTCTGAGTCCACCTGAGTATGCCAAAGGTATACATGAGGACAGGCATGACCCAGCGTTATATGTGTGTGCCTTATTCACACCGGACAAAAGGCTGTTAAGCACTTTGGTCAAGCATGCATAAAGCACGTCGCAAACTGACTGTTTCATACCAGTCTCCGATTTCATACGAGTCTACCGATGTTTTGTGACATACCCAGGTATCAGTATGTTTCAGCCTCGGAAAGGGTTCTTAAGTTGACGGGCATAGATAAGTCTATGCCCTCAGAGTTAGCAACCCTTCCCCTTTCAACATGGGGGACCGCACACTTATCCGTCCCCAGCTCCATTCCAATGGAATTGCTAAATTCACAAGTGATGTTTAGCAATTCCATAAGATGGGAGCGACTGGAGGCGAATAACTTGAGGTCATCCATATAGAAAAGGTGGGTCACTTTTGTCCCTCCTTTCCGTAGCTGAAATCCCCTCCCGGAGCCCTCCAGTAAGATACTGAGAGGGTTCAGAGAGAGGCAGAACCAGATTGGACTCAGGCAATCGCCCTGGAAGATACCCCTTCTTATCCTTATGTGGTTCTCCGCAGCCATCTTCCGCTCGCCCAGATGACAAAGGATCGTACTCCACTGCCCCATACACTGCTCGAGGAAGTGTCTAACTGTACAGTCTATCTTGTACAGCTCGAGGACTCTCTTTAGCCATGTATGGGGCACCGAGTCGAATGCCTTTCTGTAGTCTATCCAGGCGGCGTAGAAGTTCCGAAGGTTGCGTTTCACCACTTTGCCAATGACCGCGTCAGTGAGGAGTGGTTCCTTGTTTCCACGACCACCACCCCGACATCCATTTTGAGCGCGCGACATCACCTGATTTGAGTCCAGGTGACGAGTGTGTAGCGGCGCTGTCGTCGCGACGCAAGCGAAACACACCGAAGCTTAAATCACGCTATCAACATTCCGAATCATAAACAGTATATATAGAATATCTCCGAACTATCAAACGGAGTGTTGGCCGCTCCCCGGGCAGAACACCTTGCCCGGCGGGAGATCTCCCCTTTTCCTTTCACGGCCACAGTGGTGACCCCGACGTGATCTGAACACGCAACCAACAACCTTCGGAAACTTCAAGCTTCATCATCGTCATAAAATACCCCACCCATTCGCTCCCGAGCAGATATCGTCTGCAGTCTTCATATCCTGCAAGCCAGCTAGCTTCACAAGGTTCATCGCAGCACTGGAATAATAATGCTTCCTGTTCCTTTAAGCTACTCTCTGCACTATACAGTGTTCGGCACGGCTCTGAGCCTTATTGCTCGCCTCTGCTTCACGGCACTCTCGCAGATTACTTGCCTTCTTCTCGACTCACCGCAGACTACAAGGCAATCTCCTGGCATTTGCACATTCGTCGGCAACGAGGCTGCACTATCGACCTCCGGTCTGGGCAGAGTGATGTAGCGCGCCGCAAGCGAAACACACCGAAGCCTAAATCACACTATCAACATTCCGAATCATAAACAGCATATATAGAATATCTCCGAACTATCAAACGGAGTGTTGGCCGCTCCCCGGGCAGAACACCTTGCCCGGCGGGAGATCTCCCCTTTTTCCTTTCACGGCCACAAGTGATTCTCGCGCTCAAAATGGATGTTAGTGTCTTGTATATGGTCGGTAGACACGTGATGGGGCGGTATTTACTCGGGTCTGTGGTACCCTGGACTTTAGGAACCAAATGAGTGATCCCAGTAGTGAAGAGGCTTGGGAGCGACTTTTGGTTGAGAGCCTCTTGAAACTGTCGGGCGAGCACAGAGTGACACACCATGAACCTCTTCAGCCAGTAGTGATGCAGCCCGTCAAGCCCCGGACTTTTCCAGTTCGGGGCCCTACGGAAAGCCTCAGCAACGTCATCCGGTATTATGATGACGGGGTCCATGGGCGTAATACCCGCACACTGACTCGCCACAACTTCCGTCCAAGGGCCCTCGCTGTGGTTTACGGGCTCTGACCACAGGCCGCGCCAGAATGCTACAGTGTCGGCCTGATTCGGTGCTGGGCCCGTTCCACTTACTATTGGTCGCTCCAATGATGCATAGAGCCTCTTCTGATCACTCTGGAAGAGACGATTCTGGTTGAACCGTCTCGGTATATCGCCGAATCCGCTTTCCCCAAGCAGCGATTCTTTGCTTCAGATCATCTATGCACTCCGTCAGTTTTTGCGTTATATCCGGCTGGGACAAACTGACATTTGTCCCAGCAAACGCCATCCTGACGGTGCGCACAATTCTTGGCCTGTTATTGCCTGATCTGAAGCATCAGTGTGCCGATGAGAGCTCTAGCCTTTGCGATACGTTCCTCAATTCTTCTTCTCCATGCTGGGATAGCGCTACTATGGCCAGTAGCGCGTCCAGCCGTGGAAACCTTGGCGCCTATGATACGGCAGACTGCCAGCGCGGCGCCAAAAAGAATTGAGTCCGTCTCGCAAAGGTCCCGACTGGCTGCCAAATAGGTCACCAGCATTGGGTTCAGAGCCCTCACGACAGCCCGATTCTGCTTGCTTAGGGCTATGCGGGGAAGTCGCGATCGATTTTCGAGAGGCGTACTGCGCTTTTCCACAATCGCCTCTTCCAATGCACTCCTCATATGCTCTAATTCCAGTTCCTGGGCGACTGTTCCATCATCGTTTGAATCAACCACAACTGGGGTATTCACGGCGTCATCCACGTTTGCGGGTTGCTCTATCATTTGTGGCGCTGCATCCTCAGCCGTAGCATTTTCATCCGATGAGGGAACAGCCTCACGTCGTAGCCGTTCGAGTTCGGCGACAATATATTTGAGCGCAAGATATACCTAACTCGGTCTGCCAGGTTTTGCTCTGTGACGGTTAAAGATGGCTCCAGCTCAGCAAAAAGACGATGCATCCTAGCCCGGTACGCCAAACATCCAGTTTCTTCCCCTTTTGCCCTAAAGTACGCCCGCAGTGCGTTTGTATTCATTGCTTGTGACCAACGCATGCGACGTGCTCCACCAGCGGCGGGTGCCGCTTGCTGAGTCCGAGAAGACCCAGCCGACACCAAGCCTTCTGGTGGGGATGATGGATGCGGAGGGCTGCTAGGTGACCGTGCAGCTCCTCGCGCTCGGCTGGCGGCCCGCATGCTGCCGCGTCCAGCGCCAGCTCCAGACTCGCCCCGGCGACCCCCAGGCAGCGGCCCTTTGCGCACAATCTTCTTATCCATCATCCATTATTTGGGCGTCCATTAACAGGAGACGCCCAGGCCCGGCACCGTGTCGTGTGTAGCCATAAGCACAAACGGGCCTTTGCACCCTAAATTCTACCGAGGCACGGCGCTCACACCTCTCGCAAGGCGCTGACTGACTACGTTGACGTAGTAGTTTTGTCACTTAACTGTTACGTCAGCGGGCGATGGGGTCGTCAATACCCTACGCCATTTTATTTATATATATTATTATTATTATTTTGCGTTCTAAACGTAATTGTATTACGTAATTAGAACTTGTTGTGCTAAGTAATAGAACTTTGGTTTATTTTTAAAACTATTCAGTGATTTTAGGGAATGAATAGGAGGTGGTAGATCATTCCAACAGTGGGTTGCTGCAAATTTGAAACTACCTCGAAACGCAGCTGTGCGGTATCGAGTTGTTACAAGGGAATGAACAGAAGCTCTTGTATTATATTTATTTTGATCTTGGGCCCACTTCAGCTTTTGAAACAGATATACTGGTCGCTGTTTTGTTATTGTTGAGAATAGTATAGTAGCAAGGTGTAATTTTCTCCGGGCACTCATTTTTAACAGATTAGCATTGTTGAAATAAGGCGTTACATGACTTGAGGCGGGACAGTGTAACAAAACCGAGTACACGCATTTTGCACCCACTTTATGAACTTCTCTGACCTTCTCAACAGTCGTGGTCCATAGGCTGCATCTGCATAATTTAACTTAGACAGTATTAATGACTCAATCTTATCCGCATATCTTCACTGAGGTATTGCCGAACTTTATACAACAACTTCAAACGGTAAAAGCAACTGCGCACTCCCTGAAGTACATGACAACATCATCACCACCACCACCACCACCACCACCACCACCACCACCACCACCACCACCACCACAACAGCCTGCAACAGTTTACTGCTGGACTAAGACCTTCCCTCTAAAAACACCGTGTACAGACCCTTAGTTGCCCCAATAATGATCAACGGGACCAGGGCCCATGAGTGGTCCCCTCGACGAGCAATCAAGGGCGGAGCCCAATGGCCTATGGAATATTAAATTATAACGGCTAACAAAGAAGCAAGCACCACTTACCGATTGGCGGAGGTCAGGTTGGAAGTGATGTGCATGTAAGTAGTGTGTAACCTGACGTAACCAATACGTTCAGATAGCAGTACCACGTGCACCGACCACTCCACAAGACGCTCACCGCAATCGGAACCCAAGTACAGCGTTGCTTAGCACGAACTATAACCGCGCGCGATCTACACCGGGATCACAAAGTTCAGCGTTCTCAGCTATAAAGTAAAAGTCTTATCACGCTATCAAATGACGCACTAATAACTCGTCGATGCAATTAACGGCATAAAAGTTCCTTTAATCACTCCGAACTCCAATTAGGTCTCTTGTCACGTTACACGTTCAAAACAGACAACTAAATTCGAGGCGGTCTAGACTAGACCCAAATATTCAATAGTAATTCAAAATGGCGCGGACAATTAACACAATCTTCAGGCCTTCAAGTGCAAACACCGGCCGCGCGCAACCGTATACCAGTCACAAACAATACTTAAAACGGTTACAACAATAATTATATTATTCCGGCCTCGTTATCACGAAAACAAATTAAGATAACACCTGTAAGGCTCGCGATGTTCGACGCAACCTATTATGTAACACCCGACGTTTAACCGGCACGGCTGTAGCCCTCCAAAGCTCCTGCCGACTGGGCTGCTTGCTGTGCGCGTACGACACAGCAAGCCCCCGCCTCCCGCGCAACGCTAACTGTTTCCTCACCCCGCTCGAGATGCGCGTCCGGCAAGATGCAGTTTGTTCAAGCTGCGTGAACACACCGTTAGGTTTAAATTTAAAATGCGAAAAACTGTAAATATTTCCATTGTGATTTAGTAAAACAGCTGTATCTTGGGTATATTAAATTTACAAAACCACCACAAATAATAAAACAAAACCAGCCACACAAATGCAGAAAAAATATTTAATAAAAATGCAAATATGACCAAAGCAAAATAAGCTTCTGGCAATGGCAACACTGAACTGAAATGAAAATGGAGCCGGCCGAATGAATGAAATCGAATCGATACGTGGCGCGTGCGGGAGTTTCGAGCCTCGAGCTATTATAATGACATGTATCCAGATACCATTTCAAATTACTACTAATATTAATAGGTAGGTACTAAATTCTTTTGGGCGGGCTTTCTCACACTCAGCTCAGACAAAGTTGAGTACAAAACACTTTATAACCTATTTATTACTTGTCGACCTCTAGCCACAGAACACTAAACAAAACAAAAAAATTTGAAAGTTACGGGATAAGAAATACGGCTTACACATGGCTAAGCAGTTACTTGCAAGGCCGAAAACAATGCACAGAAATCACTTGGCTAACGCAAGCACGACAAGACAGCATATTTACCAAAGAACTACATCGTTCACAGTTTAGATTCAATGACCGTGGTATCCCTCAGGGTAGTATTTTAGGACCTTTATTCTTTTTGCTATATATTAATGACTTGTCTAAAATAACCAAACATAAATGCATCTTGTTCGCAGACGACACAACTTTTATATTTAAATGCACGAAAAAAAGACATATATGAAACCGAAATAAATAATTCTATTAATACTATTGTGACATGGCTTAATTCAAATAATCTTTTACTTAATATTGACAGAACAAAAATAATACAAATTGGGAATTACAAAATGGAACCTATAAATATGAATATAAAATATGAAAATTCGAAGATAGAAAATGTTGAATCAGTTATGTTTTTAGGTATAAAAATTGACAAAAATTTAAACTGGAAGCCTCACATTGACCAGATTTGTACAAAATTAAACCGGTTTATATATGCTTGAAAAACAACAAAAGATTGAGAAAAACAATATCACAAAAAGCAGCCCTAGCTGCTTATCACGGTTATATGTCGTTAGTATTATTATATGCTCTGCCTTTGTGGGTGAATTCTGTTGATATGATTAGAGCGTTTAAATTACAAAAGAAATGGGTGAGAGCGATATGTGGTGCGTGGTTTCTTGATAGCTGCAAGCCTTTGTTCAAAAAGATACGCATATTGCCGTTGCCATGCATGTATATTCGAGAAATATATATTTTTGTAAAGCGACACCCGAACTACTTCAAAACCCACGCTGAATCTCTCGAAAGGCAATCAAGACATAAAAATAGATTATTTCATCCCAAATGCAGCTCTAGATTTTATGCAAACAGTGCTCCTATAATGGCTATTAAAATATATAATAAATTGCCCAATAACTTAAAAGAAATGCCTTTGAATAAATTCAAAATTGAGATTAATAAATGGCTTCTTGACAAGTGTTATTATAGTGTTAAGGAATATTTTAATTAATTGCAATATTATTTAATGTATTATATAATTTATTTAATCTTTTGACATATATGTACAATTAAATTTGATTATTTTAAGATATATTTGCACACCGGTACAACTCCCGGTAGAATATTATTGAGACTTACTCTTATACTAAATACCTGTATTACCTAAACATTTTATTCTGCAAATAGAGATTTTGACTTTGACTTTGAAATAAAGCATACCATTCAATTCAATTCATTCATTCATACCATACCATTTCAAATTATTAAGAAAATCACTTACGTTTATATGTACCTGTTGTTGGGTGAGCGCTCTACAGAACTTAAAAGTTACTATGCAACATAATATAAATCATATATAAACTTTCTGTATATATTACTCTACTCTACGACATAAACCTTGGAGCGCTCTAAATTTATATAAGAGCGGGTACACATTGGGCGCTTTGAAACGCGCGATTTACTAACGCGCGTTTTGAGATCCAAAAGTCCCTATTGAAGTGTACACATGCAAGCGCGCGCTTCTGATCAAGCGCGCGTCGGACGCGCGCTCTCAGAATTTCGTTGGAACGCGCGTTGCGCGGGCGTCAGCTGCGCGCTTGTAGATACATGCACCGCCATTTTGCTTTACATTTGATAGCGCGCTCGTGTAGGGTGCACGTATATCATGGAGATCGAACACTTCGATACAGATTTATTTATCGACGAAATCCAAAAGCGTCCAGCTATATGGGACATGCAAAGTCCAGATTATAAAAATAAAATATTAAAAAAAAAACGTAATTGGGAGGAAATAGTTGAAATTTTTAGTGACTGTGAAGACAATTTGGAAAAGAAAAAACTGTTGGGTGTATAATTATTTATTGATGTTTTCTATAATTATATCACGTTGTTTTGCCACTGTAATTTTCCCTCGTTCACAAAATAATTGGCAAATTTTTCTCTTGCTGTTCTAGCACATAAGCTGCCTCGTGGTAAATTTTCTAAATGTATAGATTGTAGAGGTGAAACATAAAGTGTATCTTCATATCTGTAACCATCGCTCATTCGAACGTAATTATGTAGTACTGTGCAAGCTTTGATGATACTCTCCGCGAAATCTATGTTTACATCTATCGGTCTATGAAATATTC